GGTGTATAAACAATTTGCAGGACCATTTGCCCTACAAATATCTGTGAATGTTTGCTATGGCTACTAAACTGCTCAAAAACACTTTCAAACACTTTGAAAACACATTAGTTCTCAATGGGGAAAAATATCATGCTGATTATCTTGATTATCTACTGTATATTGGACTGGGTAATGTGCCAGTGGCGGACCTGCCAATTCTGGTGTTCAATGGCAAATGCCAAGCGACCTCCACGGTGCCGGGCACTCAGGCCACCCTCATGAAGTCCGTTTCTGATTGTTTGGTCAGAGACATTCACACCAGTGGCCTGCTGGAGGTCATTTTGTAGAGCTCTGGCAGTGTCCATAATGTTTCTCCTTGCACAAAGGAGCAGATAACGGTCCTGCTGATGGGTTAAGGACCTTCTACAGCCCTATCCAACTCTCCTACTGCAACTGCCTGTGTCCTGGAATCTCCTCCATGCTCTTGAGACTGTGCTGGGAGACACAGCAAACTTTCTGGCAATGGCACGTATTGATGTGCCATCCTGAAGGAGTTGGCATGCCTGTGCAACCTCTATAGGGTCCAGGTATCGCCACATGCTTCCAGTAGTGACGCCGACTCTAGCCAAATGCAAAACGAGTGAAAAACAGTCAGAAAAGATGAGTAGGGGAAAAAAAAATGTCAGTGGCCCCCACCTGTAAAATTATTCCTGTTTTGGAGGTCGTCTCATTGTTCTCCATCTAGTGCACCTGTTGTTTAGTCCATTAACACCAAAACAGCTGAAACTGATTAACAACCCCTCTGCTACTTAAATGACCTGATCAATATCCGAGGAGTTTCATTGACTTGATGCTATACTCTAATTAAAAAAAGTGTTCCTTTAATTTTTTTTGAGCAGTGTAGTTGGCATTAAAACTGCATAGGAATTAAATATTTACTTTCTATGCTCCTCAGCCCCATGTATTGGCCATAATGCAATATTACAATCAGAACTTTATAATATAATTACACTTGTAAAAGGAAAAAAAAAAATCTAAAGAACATTCGTTGGTGCATATATTTGTTTTATTTACGTAGGGCAAACAGCACTGAGAATCGTTTATAAATCAACTCCACTGTGTGTCAGCTCAGTGATAGCTTCCAAACAATTGATGCATAACAAATACTAATGTTCCTTGTTTACATTATGGTACAGAATCCAGAATGAATATAAAAGAGACTCTGTCACTTTAACATAGTCCCTTGAAAGCGCATCCTTTTAACCCACTTATACGCAGCTTCCACGCCCTCCCCCGCCACTCTATTGGAGCCTGTGTAGGCTTTGCACCAGATGTATTTGAGCGTACACAGGGTTGATGATGTCATCTTCTTCCGAGGTGACAGCATTAGGGTTTGGGGATTTGTCGCTCATGCAAGAGCACTACGTCCTGGAAGGAGGTCACATGTTCTCCCAATGCTGGAAGTATCAGGTAATTACCAAGGGCTCTGAAGTATCAATGCAGCGCTGAAGTGCTACAAACAAGTGTGTGTGGTGGGCAAGGGATCAGTGGATGGGATAGCTAGAGATTCTTTCACTTGGACCTGAATTGGCAAAGTGTCAGATTTTATTTAAACAACATAGGGTAACAAAGCACAAGGGTTATAAAGAAATATTCACCGTGAGATGAAGATGGCTGAGATGCTGCAGAAGCTACTGTTTGCTCATTAGAAGGTAGTTTTTCGGCACCTTCCAGTTCCGCCATACCAAAAAATTACTTGTGACCGCCTTTAAGTGATTGTATAATATAGCTAAATGGAAGAAAAAAAAAAAAAGAAGAAGAAAGAAAGAAGAAGAGGGATTTACTAATGCATACTTAAAAGAAGCAAGACATGCAAATGTTACAATGTATTTTTTCCCCAATATTGGTTTGTATTATGCAACATTTACAGAGTAATCAAGCTATACATTCAGTGCATGACCCATAACATTATGATAAGACTCCATACATATCAGGTGTTTATGTGCAATATCAGGCAACAAGTGACCACAATCAGCTCAAAGGGAAAACTATCCAACAAACACTGCAACTTTGTTAAAATTAGAAACTCCAGCTGATTTACCTCATCTTAAGTTTGTTTTTTAATTGGAAACAAAACTACAGGGAACACTAAAGGTCCCCATACACCTGCCGATTATCGTACGATAATCGGCAGGTGTATGGAAGGCATGCGTCCGTTTCTACTGTAAGGTCGCACGTCTTTTGTCTCCCTAGCACGCTTGAAAACCAGCCGAGAATTGTATGATTTTCGGCGGGTTAGTGGCGTTTTCGGGAGACAAATGCTGCACGGGCCGGTGTGCGCAAGCACACACTGCCAGCTCAGCATTGGAATCATGGGAAGCCCTCCCCTCAGCGGGGAGGGCTTGCGATGATCGCAAGTACGATCTGCCTGTCCAAGATGTGCAGATCGTACGAGCTTTTAATTACCTTACAACCATCGCAGGATGAAAGTCGTGTAAACAGGTTACACGATCATTGGGAGTACACTTCCTGAGGTTTGTGCTGTATAACTTTTAAAGACTTTGGGGTCTATTCACAAAATGGTGAAGAGTTTGGAGCAGGAAGGAGAAGTGAACAATCTAGTCCAAAATAGCTGAACTGGAAAGTGAGCTCAATTGGAGAATGTTTCCAAATCAGCTATGTTGTTCTAGATTGTTCACTTCTCCTGCCTTCTCCAAACTCTTCACCCTTTTGTGAATAGACCCTTTTGTTTCCTGTAGCATCAATGACATTCAAAAGCCCATGGTAGTTTTAATTCTGATTGGTGGTTGTGAGAAAGGCAGTGCTGGTATGTTTTTATTTGGTTTTCTGTACGTCGGGGACAGCAAGCAGCCTGCAGTGGGTTTGTTTGGGAATAGTTCTCTTGCATCACAGGCAGGGTTCTCAGATCACTAGATTATAGACAAAGGGGAGTGGGGTGCTGCAGTAATGCCTGTTGGAGTACTAAGCAGGTAGGTTGTGCTCCTTGTATGCATCTCAGGGTTTACTTATCAGCTTTGACTGGTGTGCACCTTTAAAGAGAACTTGTCACTTTATATATTCTGCCCATAAACTCTGTATAAGTTCCATGTAGGTCAGTGTGGGAGCTTACAAAGGGGTTTATGGCCTGCTCTCCTCCCGCATTAGACAGTGTTTGGGATTGGTGATTCCCTTTTTAAGCTACAGCACTGCATTATGGGAGGAATAGGGGGGGGTAACCCCCTCTCAGACACAGAAATAATGGGCAAAAGGCTCATGCAGAATAAAAATTAATGGGAGTATCAGTGGGTAGGGAGAGGTAAGACTTTAAAAGTGCCCATACACTGTGCGATTATCGCGGGAAATCCCGCGATCGTACGATAATCGCACAGTGTATGGAAGGCGTGCAACCGTTTTTACTGTACGGTCGCACATCTTTTGTCTTAGGAGCATGCTAGAAAACCAGCCGAGAATCGTACGATTTTCGGCTGGTTTTTAGCATGATCGTAAGATCAATGCTGCACGGGCCGGTACGCGCACACTGCCCGTTCAGCATTGCAGTCATCAGAAGCCCGCCCCTCAGGGGGGCGGGCTTGCTATGATCGCAAGTACGATCTGCCTGTCCAAGATGGGCAGATCGTACGTTTTTTTAAATTACTTTACAACCATCGCAAGACTAAGGTCTTGCGATGGTTGTAAAGTGTATGGCCACCTTAAGAGATCTCTTTTATTGATGAGCCTGAACTTGGTGTGCACCTGTGCACCACCCCAATCAGTTGCAGCAAGCACATTCACCACCCCGCAGCTATACATCACAAAGGGGCAGGGAATGTCCCCCACCACTGATTGGACTGCAGGAGGGAGTGACAGTCACAGATTTGAGTGGGCTTGGGTGAACTGGGTTCACATTAAACCCAGCCTCATCACTAATCTCTTTCAAAGCAGATCTAAACTCAGTCACTAAAATCATAATATGATGAAATTCAAAAGGTTGTTTTAAATATACAGAAAATACACGGTGATTATGTCATGAAGCTCCTCGTTGAGGAACTTCCTGTTACAGGGTGACATCTGACTCCCAGTTGTGATTCTTTGTCAACCTGTGACATGTGCCTAGAGGTTGAGACTGCAATTGCCTGTGCTAACCCATACGGTGCAGGCACGGTCCATCATTGTCATCATTGTCACTACTGGGAAGTCAGTCCAGAGAATGACATCTGTTTAGAATACACAATTCTATCGCAAACTAAATGTTGCCCAGTTAGGGTTTGGATCTACTTGTTCATTTGTTGTGCGTCTGCCACTACACTACAATGGAAATCTCATTGTTCTCTATGGTGTCCGTTCACACCTATGTAACATGATGCAGTGCCAGCTTTGGAAAGGTGCTGGTGCTTCTTTTGGTGCTCCATGAGAAGGCACATTATGCGTGTAATGAGGGAGGGATGAGCATATTAGTGTCTGTAAAAAGGAGGTTTTGGCTCCATTGACTTCTATGGAAACCCAAGAAAAAGGCATTACATGCATTTTTGTGCTCTTTAGTGCCAGACAACAAGCCCCCATCCCTAGCAACATATACCTTTCACCTTCATTGGCCACACATAAACGCAGACAGGGCAATACACATACAAACCTCTATAACAGTCACCCTTATGGTGGCCTTCTAATGGCTCCACACTATATAATCTCTCCTATGATGACCAATCTAATTCATACCATTCAGCCTTCCTGTGCCTCTTACACTTCTTTCTTCTCAGAGCTCCTTGTGGTATAAAACATGGCACAGTGCATCCATTACAAGGAACCTTTTCTTTACAAGTCCTTATTGCTGCAGGACTCCTTGCAGCTTCAATCCTCAGTGTTCCGTCATCTCACATTTCCTGGTTGTAATACTGGTGGTCACATGACACCACATGACAATTTTCAATGAGTATGGGGGCACTTCTCGAAAGCGACGTCATGTGACCACTGGCACCACAAATATATGCCTTAGAGTGTATTGTAATGTCATAATTAAACCGCTGTAACCTGTATTTACATCACCTGAACAAACCACGTGTCCCCGGGACTGTCACATGACCTGCCGCGCCCCTCCCACGACCCATGTTTTAACCAATGGTTTTACATGAGAAGGCATGTTATGCGTGTAATGAGGGACGGGTGAGCATATTGGTGTCTGCAATAGAAGGACATTTTATGTGAGACTTTCCGGCAGAATTTAGTACGGCTTGGTCTCCGGAAAAATGGCCACACCCGTCGGCTTTTAAAGTCTTTACAGGGGACTATATCTATTAAAGTATGCCGCTCTCTTCTGTCCAAATGTGTGTGCTGTCTGAGGTCACTTGGGCTCCTGGCAATTGAGTGCTCCGCAGTGACACTTTTCCCTGCAGGTTGGAGGACTCAGTGAGACGGTTTGTGTGCTGCTACCCACCGGCTGTTAGTGCTCATCTCATGTGGGCCAAAACTACTGCCACCATGACAGCTCTGTGATGTCGTAATTTCCTGTCTTGCTGGCTTAGGGTAGGATATGTGAGTGAGTTATTTTGGGTACAGTAAGGAGTGTGCTGTATGTGTGTCCTTGCTGCCCTGTCCCCCTGGTTACACTGCACGACTTTATATGACAGGTACAAGTTCCAGCTATTTCTGCTTATCCCTTATCATTCTGGATTGTGATCTCCATTGGGCAAGGAAGACATCTGGCGGGGTTTCATGCATTATGTGTATATTGTGTTATTATAATTTTATGTCTTGGATGTGCTTCCGCTGTACAGCGATTCTGAGGGACCTAGCACTATACATGACAATTTTCCTTAAATGTTAAAGCTGAACTCTGGGAAATACAAAAACCTCTCTTGCAGTGGGGCTGCCCCGAACTGTAAGGGGTGAAACATTTATTAACTCTTGTAGTGGGGCTACCCCGCACCGCACTGGGGTCGAAAGAGAACTATGGGGTAAGTGTTTTTCCCCATAGTTCTCTTTAGGGTTACGGGAGGGTATATACTAAGATCCGCCCGTGACCCAAAGCTCAGTATATAGCGGGCTATTGCCAGTGATATACTGAGAGCGCCACAGCCGGTGTTCTATCACAGATTGTGACTGTATTGGAACAGCTGTTCGGTCCTGAAATCTCACTTCTATCCGACTTTGTGAGTGCAATACAAGGTCAGAAAGAAGTGAGATTTCAGGACCGATCAGCTGTCCCTGGGCAGATCGGTTCTCCTGCACATACCATCTGCGATGCTGATCTGCCCGGGAACAGCGGAGAAAGCTTTGAATTCTACACCTTTTGCCGGTCACACATTTTTACACCGGAAAAAAAATGGGCGTGATTACATTAGAATGCGTGCTCACGTCACCGGTCACACATGCTAACGCAGTTACAATCTGTGATAGAACAGCAGGACAGAACCCGACAATACTGACAAGATCCACCCAGCTGCGTGAGTGACAGCTGGCTCTGCCTATCTAGAGTCAGGGCCAGCTGTACCATTCGCGGTTCGTTTCTCCAATCAGCGCTGGAGGGGGGGAATCCCTGTGGGGAGCGGTGACTTGCGAGTCATAATCACTGCAGGGAGACGATCGGATAGTGAGCGGATCGGCTGCATGTTTCTGCTCACTTCCCGATCAATAGATAGAGCCGACCAGTGACAGCTTCTTTGTCACAGGTCGGCTCTAACTATGAGGGTGAGTGGAAATCACTCACCTCATAGTTAATATTAACAAAAATATATGTTTATTTGTGTATCACTCAGCTGTACATCCTCAAATCATCTCAAAATTGGTGCTGACACTGTCCTTCCTTCTGGAGGGTGGCTACTTTTTGTTCTCCATGGTCCCTGTGTGTTGCAAAGTAGCCACAGCTTCAAGCTCGCTCCCATAATACAAATTAGTGTCCCTTTAAGTTTCAGAGCTTCAGGTATTAGTTTTCTGCTATTCTTGGCATTGGAAATCTCATACTGCATACCACCCACACCGTTTTTATGCTCCAAAACATGATGTGCTCTTGCTTTTTTTTTTTTTTTTTGAACATAGTAACTACAATTTTTTTAAATTATTATACGGGATTTATATAGCGCCAACAGTTTGCGCAGCGCTTTAAATACAGTAACTGTACAGTATACAGGTGAAACTCGAATAATTGGAATATCGTGCAAAAGTAATTGCAGTAAGTGCTGCAAAAGGGGCCCAAACCAAGTACTGAGTACATATGCATTCTTGTACTTTTCAGAGGTCCGATATTGTTCTATGTACAATCCTTGATTTATTGATTGCATGTAATAATCTACTTTTTTGAGGTTGTGGATTTGGGGTTCTTGGGGTTTTCATGAGCTGTAAGCCATAATCATCACAATGATGACAAATCACGGCTTGAATTATCTTGCTTTGCATGTAATGAGTCTATCTCATATATTAGTTTCACCTTTTAAGTTGCATTAGTGAAATAAATGAACTTTGCACGATATTCTAATTATTCGGGTTTCACCTGTAATACAGAACACTTTCAGTTTGCATACTTTAGGGATAGGCATCACTACCTGGATGAATATTTTAGTGCAGGAAAAATGACATTATGTATGTAATTTATCAGTCTGTCCAGAATGCTGCAAACGCTGTGTGCACACCAGAGTGGATTATCTGAAACAAATGTCTGAGTAGCTGCATTTCTTGCGCACTTAGTAGCTGTTTATGGCCCCGTTCACACCTTTACGTTTTGTCGCGCGTTCAACGCTCTATGAACGCTCAACAAAACGTACAAACATGAAAATCCCATTGTTTTCTATGGGTCTGGTTCACACCTTTCCGTATTTCAGCCCGTCTGAAACGCCGTACAAAACGGCCTACGCTCAAACAAGTACATGTACTTCTTTGGGCCGTTTTGTAGGGCGTTTTACATTGGGATACAGCCAAGTAGCTTTTGGAATCGCACGACGGTCGCGCGACTTTTTTACCGCGAATCGCGGTAAAAAAACCGTGCGACGGTCATGTGACAGACGCGCATATTCAATACGCCTAGGTGTGAACCCAGCCTATCTGAATCAAAGACCCAGTGATAAAATCACCTTCTGCACCACCTACGTGGGGAAACACACAGTGCTTATAAACAAGGGCCGTTTTGTGGTTGTAGAACATAAGCATGATCACATGAAAGAGATTTCAACCAACAAATACGGAGTTATTAAATTAAAATTTACACTGCGCTCCTTTTCAGTTTCCAGCTACAATCTTTTTCATCTCTGATACCTTGTTGATTGTATTTCACAGTAGGAGAGGATATGAAAGATAAATAAGGTTAATTATTTGCTTTGTTTAGTGTTTTTTTTCCAAAACAAGGTATTGTAGCTACAGATCAAGATAAACAAGTTAGGCCAGGGGCACGGGCAAAGAGGATCTGCATTCTTCTATGCTTACAAACACCCCTTTGATACCAAGGGAACAAGGTATATGTTGGCTTACCATCCCTTTTCTTGGTAGTTTTGTACTGATGTGAACACATTTCTTCCACGAAAAAAGAACGTACAATTTTCTCTGAAAATTCCTTCATAGTCTTGAGATTATATTGTGCCCTGCAGACATTCAAAGTTCAAAATATCCCATCGCACTCCTAACCGGAAACAATCCCTATTTGTGTGGTGGGTGCAGTAGCAGCAGCAGATGCCTCTGCGGATAACGTGAAACCAATAAAAAACTTTCTGTTTGCCTGAGGAAGGGACCTCTTGGTTCAGAAACGTTGCATGGAAATGCTGCACCATTTAGTCAATAAATAGATTGACTGGACGTTACATTGGAGTGCGAGTGACTTTCTGCAGAGATTCAAGGCACCCCAAAACACAACTGGGCCTCCTCCATGTTTCACAATAGGCACAGTGTTCTTTTTTTTTTTTTTTTTAAACTTAATTTTTTCATTTGTGAACAAAGCGTTGATATGACTTTCCGAAAAGCTCCAGTTTTGATATACTTGTATAACCCTTGGTATCCATGGGGCTGACGGTCTTTGTTTTACTATACTTTATGTAAAGGTCTCCATTTTATACCTCACAACAAGCTTTACTTATTTTGGCTTCTTTTTCAGCTCTTCTTGTTTCTGTATTTCCTAGAAAGGACTCTACACTGAGATGGCCTCTGAAGCAACTATTGCTACATCAAGGAGCAAGCTTCCAAACTCAGGATATCGAGACTACTACTGGGTCCGTTCTTTCGTGGCAGGAGGTGAAAAGTTTGCCCTTTTTTAATTTAAGAGCTCTGTAAAGAACAATGTAAAACCGACCAGGTAACATGCCACAGTACAGTTTAAAGCTCTTTCTGTGAAAAAAAGATGGCGGGTTTTCCTGGGCTATAACAGACACCTGTAAAAGATGCTAAAAAATTACTCTGTATGTGGCCTTTTTTTTTCTTTTCAATCCTTAAAGGTTCAGTCCTTTCAAAGTTGAAGTTTTAGTAATATATGGAATGAGGTGGGCTAAGCCAGCCTCTGATTTCTTATATATCTTGGATACTTCAATAGTGAGATCTACCTTCACTGTTTCTGTCTGCCTGTGAATATGAAGTGTTCCATATCCTTCTGTTACATGCTCCATACTTTCCCTGTAAATGTTTCCTTTTTAATACCAGCTGCCAGGATCTATAAACAAGCTGCTATTACCATTTTTTAAAGGACAACTGTACATTTGGTAAAGTTGTTCTTTAAGTAACTCCCCATCCCCCTGAGTGCAGACTGCTTGGAAAATATTTAGGC